GAGAGAGAGAGAGAGAGAGAGAGAGAGAGAGAGAGAGAGAGAGAGAGGGAGAGAGTGTGTTTATATTTTGCTGTTCTGCTGAAAAAAATTGGGGAGAAGGGATTAAAGTGTGTTGAAATAGAGCGCATAAGGTCAGAAAATGTGTGGTGAAGGCAACGTGGGGAGGTATGACAAAGTGGAATAAAATCTGAGGATTGAGGATGTTTCAGTTAGACGTAATACCAGTTTGGTATGTATGAGATCTTAGAGGATATTATTATGAAGACACATAAATAGCCAAAGCATGACCGAATTTTACCATAGTGTAGAGATTGTTTGTCCATAAAAAAGCTTTTACATTTTTTAAAGACAAACAAGCGCTATTTGAGTTTACTTGAAAATCCAAAGATTATTTATGCACTTTTCTCAGTGTGTTTTTTTCTGTTTTGTATACCACTTGTTTATTTGTTCTCCTTGGTTCTCCCAGGTTAAATTTTTCTCTGGCAAATGATAGGTAATCGGCTATATAGATCCTGAACATTTTTTCTCTGCTGTATGTGATGATACGAACCTTGATTTGTGATGAACTCTTAGAGTCATGAATGTATATGCCAAAACGGAACAGTAAACCTGTAGAGTAATAGCTCCTGTTTACGTTATTTTATTCTAATATTCGAAAACACTCCTTAACAAAGAGCTTTCTCTTTCCAAGGCATTTTAATTTTGACCTCTCCAGCCTCATCTACAAAAAAATAAACACTCACACACACAAACGCATACATACTCACACACACATACACACACACATACACACATACACATACACACACACACACACACACACACATATATATATATATATACACACGCACAAATACACACACACAACACTAACACTTTATCGATCACCTGAATCTATAATATATCATATTTTTCCGCTTTTGTGACTTGGAGGGCGTTCAATATGACCAATACATAAACGTAAAAATTGCCATTTCTTGTCTTTTGTACACTCAAGTGAACCTACTCAGTCGTAGCCATATGAACGATTTCATTCGTTTTATACTTCAAAGATCACTCGAGGTCCCTTTTAAGGTACTGGAAACCATGTATAAATACCAAAAGGTATATAAAATAAAATAACATTCACTTTTTTTTGTTTTCCTCAGGTTTGCTGAATGAAACAAGAAGACACGTAATCAATAACACTGGATACTGTGAGGACGACTGGCAAAAAATATCAGCAATGTTTAATTGTAAGGTGGGATTAGAATAAAAACTCCTTGCGTCACTGCATAGCCTCCTGAACTGAGTCAAATGCCTTTTCCTTGGAATCGATTATCAAAAGTCTTGACACTTGTATACAGTTTAGACTTTGGATTAATTCACCTTTGCAAGTATTCCTGACCACGAGTATTGTTCTCCATTAATTAAAAAGCGACATTTAACTAAAACAATAATGAATAACACATCGTCTTGAGAAAGATCGAAAAAAGAAAAACTTATTAGGATGCTTTAAGATATTTGTACTCTCAAAGAGTCACTTCAACAAGTCTCTGTCCACCAACACGCGAGAAGGGAACACTTTATATTTTCTGGAACTGGACACTCGACCTCATCCGCTGAACAACTGTATTCAATAAATCGTTCGGGATAGCCGTCCTCTGAGTCAACTCGTCACTGTGTCATCATGGCGATACACATCCCTGGGCTCATTGCCATCGTCGTCTTTTATCTCCTCATCGTTGCGGTCGGCATCTGGGCCTCCCGGAAATCCAAGCAAACAGGAAGTACTGCAGACAGCGAAGACGTGATGTTAGCCGGGAGGAACATTGGTCTCCTCATTGGGATATTTACTATGACGGGTGAGTGACACGCTGTTACAAACTGTTTGGTTGTTCCCTCAGCCAAAATGTGCCCGACCTGTCCATTTCTCATGTCATCTTCCTTGTTTTCTCCCCACCCCCCACCTTTCTCTCTCTCT